TCACGGACAAAAGGAGAAAACAACCGAAACGGGGCAAGAAGGTGGGGCGAGAGGGGAAACGATGCCGCGAAATGTTCCGTGCTCAAAAACGTCGCGAGTGGCGTCGACGCAATTCCGTCGTTAAATTGTTTGTCATGGTCGATAGAGGTACACGGACGAAACCAAGCGCCATTTTATCCCGTGCACTCGCGGCAACGCGAAAGGTGGATGGACGGTGCACCGCGGCGACGGTGATGGTATATTCTTCCCTGACAATTCACCGAACCGCGTACCACGTAAAATCGATCCGATTATTGGACCTCTTTCGTCGTAAATTGCGTTCGATGCTGTCGTACACGATACGAACGATATACTCGCGCACTCTGGTTCACCACTTTTTTTTACACAAGTCACTATGAAACTTTATCGCCGGTTGGAGCACTATGACCTCGTGTGATCGTTATTCGCGAGATACGCGTTCCGTTCTGTTTTTCAACTAGCAACACAGTTTTTTTATTTACACGCGAATCACTAAATTACGTGTTCCACGCTCATTCGGTGACGGATAACAGTTTTTTTTCTCCGAATAGAGAACACGAGACTCGCCGCGAGTAGAGCACATCCGTCGCGTACTGCGAGAGAACACGAACTAACGCGGCGAGCCGAAACGAGCCGAGGTCGCTCGACTAGTTTCACCGAACCGCTATTCGGCCGTTTTACACCAGCGCCGCCACCGGGGCTGCACCCTTACTGTCCATTTTCCTCGATCGCTTCTTTCCATCTCAAATTTTTGTCCCGTTCACGCTGATCGGTTTTTCGATCGTCCACGTTGCCTCGAATAGATGTCTGATTTTAATCTTCCACTTCTTAACTCGTAGACAAAAACTTGTAAACGGATCCACGACTAAGCGGGGTCATTGATTTTTTGAGCCCGTCAAGTGTAAGCCATGCGCATGCGCAATCATGCCGGCGGTATGACAGCGAGCGTTCTCATACACATCCGCAAAGTTCTGGACTTGAATTCCTGGTGACTTTTATCTACGACGCTCGCGACGAAATACCGTTTAAAATTTCTTCTTTCTCCTTTCTTCTTCTTTTTCTTCCTTCTTTCTTTCAGAAAATCAATTTGATCTATTCTACTGTCTATTTTAGATATTTGTACTTGTCAATTTATACGATTTAAAAATTTTGAAAAATATTATAATTATCTTCATTCGCCACGTATTCGCTTTTCGGATAACACGGATGATATTTGGTATAAATAAATACAAGATATTTAATTATTTCTTCGCAATTTTTTTAAAAATTATTTAATCGACAACGACAAACTACCAATCACATGATCCATCGCAATGCAAACTGGCCAATTTCTTGTATTTTGAAATCACATGATCAATTCGAAGTGCACCATGGGTAATTTATTGTATACTTGATTCGGCGCGTTGATCATCATTGATCATGTCATCACTGTTAATTTCTATCGTTATTGAATCGATAAAATAAAAAATCGTTGATTTTATAATATTATAATTTATAATATTATTTACGAAGTTACACGTGTAAAAATTGTGACACATATATTTTTAGTGGTTATATTATATTATATTTACGATATGTTCAAAACGGAACACGGTGAAAAAATCGATTCGTTTGTGATTTTCCCCTGTTAAAAGTTAAAGTAGTTTAAAGATGTTTAAAAATTAAATATAAATCGCAACGTATGAAACGAATATTAATACTCGTGTACTCAGTGATAATCGACGCGTTAATGGCAGAAGAGATTAAGCGAGAGTTAAGCGACAAAAAAAAATATTACCAGATAATCCAGCCGATCTTGTAAACATTTTTATCTCATCGATCGCAAGATTTCCACGAATTCGACTTTAGTTCGTTCAACGTAATTCTACGATTTTCGATAATAAGTATTTTTCGCAATATTTCTTTCGCGTAGATACAGCTGCTATCGCGTATAATCGATAAATTTATTGTTTTTGGCCACAATGAGCGATAAGTGACGTAAACAAGTCTCTGTGGAAAAGAAATACAAAATTCGCGCAATTATAAACGATAGGGATTGAATTCGATGGAAGGATAAGGAGGGTTAACAGCGTATGAAAAAAAAATCAAGTGGAAAATGATGAGGATTGTTCGCAAAACGAACTTTCGTTGGCGGACTAGCGAAGGCGAAACTATCTATCGGCTCGTTGGAAGCCCAGTGACGAGGTAATCGGTCGAACGATCAAGATTCCCTTCATTCGCCTTTCTCTGTCGCGGCGGTAGAGAGCATAGACGGACGGCTATTTCCGCATGACATCACACCGCCCGCATTTAGAAGCACGATTTTCTATTTTCTTGTCGGTCTACATTGGTGGCCCGTGAAGACTTGCAAGGTCAGCCCCACCGAGATGCGCCTGAGAACACTTTTTATTCCCTTCCCTTCCCTTTCTTTTCATCCCGTCTCGCGTTCCTCGCGTCTTCGTCGCGTCAACGGGTTACCTCTTTCTATCTATCTGTCTGGTTCGGTAAAAACCTTCTTATTAAAAAGGGGTGTCGTCTTTTCGCAAAATTTCCACGATTAGAAACAGCCACGTTGCGAAACACGCGTCCCTTTTTTCCCCTCAGGTAATACAGGCCGGCAATCTGCCCTTCTTGCCCAACGATCCCGCCTAATCGAGAAATAATTGTACGAATTTGTTCGAGGGCTGGCGAACGGGACCAGAAAAGAAATCCTTGCATTCTTGCTCCTGTTTTTTTTCCTTTTTTTTTTTTTTACCGTATTCATTACTCTCAGAACCGCGGAACAATGGATTCGGTGGAGACAAAGGAGCGGCTGCTCTTGCTTGGCACCAGTACCGTTTCTCGCGTTAACAGAGTTAGCCGTTCGTTTGCGGAATTAGAAATGAAGGCTCGCGTGAAAATTCGCGGGACCGGCTCGCGAGGGGCCATTGAAATACCAATACGGAATCGTGGAATCGGAATTTAATTTCCATCTCATCGTAAAGCCTCTTTTTATCACGATCTATGCATAAACATTAGAAACTTTTTAGAGAAACGAATACACGTCTGCAAATTGACGTCTGTGTTCGAATTGGTGTTCATTATCCGAGACGTTTATTCATCGGCCGGTGTCTTGCTAATAACGCGGACCCACGTAATCACGGAAGAGGATTTCTGCGTGAATAGTTGCATAATCATCGATCAAAAGTTTTATACGTTCTCACTCTGTTATATGTTCCGTAACATAATGTACGTGATCACGTGGTATGTACGTAGTGAAATTCAACGAGAACTATGCAACGCTTGAATACAAAAAAAAAAAAAAAAAAAGAAAAGAAAAAAGAAAAAAAAGAAAAAGGCAATTCTTTGTAAAACAATTTTCTGCTTTATCTTTAATTCGAGTCGAACGAGAGCCGATCATTTGCCCTCGTTTATCGCGTGATTCTGTCGTGTCAGTGTCGGCAATTTCAGAAAAAGAAAGACGACTCATACTTGTTGTAGTTTCTCAGAGTTCTGAGAAATTCTCTCCAGTCATCGGGAAGAATTTCATCGGGTATCTAAACGGACGGACGGGCGATGATTAATAAGTTTTTATGGGCATTACATCTGATCGCGTGACAAATCGATTTCCGTTCTTCGCTTCTTATCGCGTTCGAGCGTTACCTTTGTCTCGCGAATTCACTTCCGTTCATCGTCTTTGCTGGAATTTTTAAAACGTCCCCTCACGTTATGCTCACGTTGCATAAAATCAGCATTTCGGCATCTTCCATTCTCGTAGAGGCGGGAACAGAAAGAGATGATAGCGCGTAGGTATGTGCAGCACGGGTGAGAAGATGGAAAAGGGATTTCGGTGAGTGAGAGAGGAATAAAAAAGGAAGAAAGGAAGGAGGGAGACACACGTGGAATCAGGGGGGGGGGGTCATAAAAATCCAGGTATATAAGCAACGATCTACAAGTGCGAGGATGATCCTAATCTCTGGACATTGGTAGAATAGCATAGGAGCTTGAAATCTCGAGATGAAAATCTAAAAGGAAGCGTACCAGAAAGAAAATGATAGGACGACTAAAAAGAATTGCCGTGACGTGAATTTGTTAGAAAATTTAACGGAACGCAGATTCACGAAGCAAGGGAGGGAGAAGTTGATTCTTTTTTCTCGTAGGAATTTCCAAGTAAACGGGAGATTTATGCACCGTCCACGAAAGTCTTTGATCCTCTTTTCAATAATTTCAAACTGCTTCAATTTTTCTTGAGAGAAGAATGGAACGATACGGTTAATATTATTCTTTTGAAAAAATTTTGCTTCTGCTTCATTCACATCGTGGTATTATTATTATTATTATTATTATTACCTCTCTCTTACCGAAAGAAGACAGAACGTAAAGACAGGAGCTTTTACGTTCCTTCTTGCCATTTTTGGGTATCGTGAATGTAGCTCCAGGGTTTCTCGTTCGTTGATTCATGCTTTACACCGACATTTTTATTTGGTTGGTCACCGCTGTCAAAAGATATATTCGTCGTGGGGAAGTGACAGTAAAAACAGGCTGAAAACGTTAATCCGTCATACGTGTCTTAGGAGGTAATTAATAGAGGAGGGTTCGGTATGGCTGGTTCGCTCGGTCATAAATTTTGTGGAAGGTCGGGAATGAACGACGCATAAATTTCACTTGGACGGGACAAACGCGTGTTGGTAGAGGCGCGCGTGATTTCGCGAATTGAACGGCGGGGGAACGTTCGAGTTAATGGTTTCGTAATTGAATAAATGTGGGCGATTAGTCGCGTAGCCTCCGAGACGGTTAACGAGCTACCATCTAAATAACCGTTCGTCTCTGCTAAAAATCGAATTTAGAGTTAATCGCTGCTTAATTTAAATACGCTCGCGCGCTAACAGACTTATCTTTCTCATCAGACGATCCGATCTATCTTCGCATCAATTTATAATTTTATATATATATATATATTTACATAGTCTCGCGGCCATGTTGGAGGAACCGAGAAGGTTTTTCTGAAAAGTGTCGTCGACACGATCTGTATCGAACAAGAGTTTTATTTCTTATCTTTAGGCACAGATCGTTGTACGTTGCCTTCGATACAACGACAATACATCTGCTTTTGATACAAAAAAAAAAAAAAAAAATGAGAGAAAAGTGTTTTCAGTGAAAACAATGGACAGACGAGAAGAAATAACGTGCATGGATAGCACGGCGTGCCACGTCCCCAACCCCTTATTTCTTCTTGAATCTAGCTTTCTTCGACACCACCACGGCGTTAGACGGCGACTTTGGGTTCGACTGATTCTTGTGCTTTTTGCTCTCTACGTGTTGAGCAAACGTACTCTCGGAATTTAACGATAGATTACACGGTGCGCAATAATACTGGCCTGCAAATAAAAAACACAGGTTGCTTGGCAATTGGCATATCACAACGCGTGTTAAAATTGTCGACAATTGTCTCTACCTGATGGCGTTCGGTAAATGGAATAATCTATAGGCCCAGGAGTGGCGGGTATCGCCTCGCTCTCGGTAGCTGAAAAATCCACAGGATGAGTATTATTTATCGCGTTACGGAGGCACAAGTGTTATAGTGGAATTCTTACCAGGCTCGGGAACGGGTAATCCATTCAACCTAAGCATTCTCAAATGCCTAGCGCCACGTTTGTGCGTTTCCAATTGGTCCTGCCGATTAGCGGAAACCCCACAAAGATCGCAACGCAATGGCGTTGGATAAGGAGGCGGTGTGTAGATGGACCCCGTTCCTGGTGTAGGTACCGCATTGGTACCGTCAGGTACTACCGGCTGTGCCGGTGTAGATTGCACTTCTGCCTGAAAAGCCATTCCTATCCCGAATCGGCCGGTGGGATCTATTTGACTGTACTGATTTTGATTTTGCGACTTCTTCGACGGCCTGTAGAATTCAACGCTCTGCTATGACGATCTCGGCTGACACAGCTATCTTTCTAAGAATAATTAGGGACAAGTATACATCTCTGTACCTCGCACGACGTCCCCCGTTTACTGCTCTAATATGTTTTTTACCAGCGTAGTGTTGCGTCGCATCCGTTTGCGACGTGAACCACGTTTTACAAATCTGCAAAAATTAAATACCATTCGACCACGTTCGACTCCCCCTCACAATTAATCGAGCATTCGATCTTACATCACAATAATTTTGCCAATCGCTGGTCGTACTACTGACTTGGCCGTCTTCCGTTTTCTGTTTCTTTACGCTTTGATTCAGAAACATCGATACTTTTTTCTGATGTGGCTTTCCATCGTAATGTAACTTAGCTTGCAACGTGGAGTTCATCTGAAATCGTTATTTTTAAGCGATGCTTCATTCGTTCGACATTCGTTTGGTTAAATATTTTGTGTTAAATATGATGGCATAATTATTCAACAGGATGTTTCGTATATTTTTTTTATTATCGGATAAAGTAATCGAGGCTTACAACTGCATTGCACAGATCGCATTTCAGCGGTTTCATTAATGCTGACAGTTCCCTCTGGGCGCTTGCGACTTTCTCTACGAAATAGAAACATAAATCAATCTTTAATTAGTTGAACTCCCTTTCCTATTTGAGATCTGATTTCTTAATAAAATAATTTGATAATACATGAAAAAGAAAAAAAAATAAATTCTAAAGTAAAATACATATATTCCATTTGATTCTCGTCATATGTTACGAAACTTATTCTTTAATTACCTGCATCTTGAGCGGGATCGATGAACTCGTTCTTGCGTTTGTAATATTTGTTCTTAGCTTTGTTGGAAACCGATATCGTCGGTGATGCGACCGCCGCAGCTGTCGTCTTGTAGGTCGTGTCGTACCATCGTGCATAAAGATCGGAAGTGTCCGCGTCTGTAGGTATCCACCAAGGAGTAGTTGGTTGTCCAGGTGTTTGTGTTTGCATCGCTGGATGCATGATATATGGTGTTGGCACAGGAAGATTTGGAAACGCCGTAGCTGCTGCTTCAATTGTTAAATTTCCCGCTGTTTCGCAGCTCGATAAACCGGTCGTTGTCGCTTCTGTCGTTACCGGTTGCTGTTGTTCCGTCATAATTGGCAAATTGTTGCTTTTCGAGGTTGTGATTGGTGGTGGGGGTGGTGGAGGTGGCGGTAAAAAACATTCCAATCCTGTATATAATGAAAGATATATTTTAATTGAAAAAATAATAATTATAATAATAATAATTGTATACGATATATGAAAAAGAAAATATTTTTTTTACATTAGATTTATGTTATTAATAAAATTCCTCCTATTTAAGTATATATATATATATATAAAACGCATTTTGTCCAGTGATTTAGGATTAAAGAAATTATTTTTGTTTGCACGATTAATTTTTCGAAATAATAAAATTAATCGTAATTATTGAATAATTGAATAATAATGTATTGAATAAATTTGACGAAAAAATTAGTATCGCGCAAAAAGAGTGAAAAAAAAAAAATGGTAATAAAGATCAATGTTGATTAACAAAATATCACGCATAAATGATAATTGAATATTTACATGTTACCACATCTAATAATTTATATATACATAATCCCTTTACATTTATATCTTTATTTAATTTATCGCTAATCTAATCTGATTCGATATAAAAAAATTTGATTTCGGTGACAAAAGTGACAAACAACTATCACATCACTGTGTATATGTATCGGTACGTGTATTTGTTATTTTATATTTTAAGTCATCAGCTGATTTAAATATTCAAATATTGAATGAAATTTGAAACTAAACGTAAAAATATCCTATGGTTAATGTACTTTCTTATTTTATCTATTTAACGTTGGACGTAGCATGTGCATACTTTAAGTAATTGTTTTGATAATTGATTGATATAGGCATATCAAAAATTATATCCGGTTATTTCTAACAGACTCCATTACGACTACATACCGTATATTTGTACTTGCGACGATACAGTTCCATTTATAAAAAATATTTTTTCATATATATATTAATAACAATATAATAAATGTTTTTTCAATGATCGATGTGTTTGAGAGATTCAGGAGTTTGTATATTTTCGACACACTAGATTCACTAGAATATACGTACATATGTCTCTAACAACGTGAATCAATGAAGAAAATTCTTTCCTAGGAATAAAAACTTACCCGGTACTTCTGGATTTTCGATGATCTTTGCACTAGACATTTTTTAAACTTAAATATCGTGATATTCTCTATTATTGTCAGAGGAATCTTGACGGTGCGCGGTAATTACGGCACGATAAGGTTGTTTTCGTTCGATTTACACTCGCGAATTAGTTTTCTGCCTATAGTTTTATATTTCGCACGATTCGTTGGAATATGGTATCATTACGATTTATGAATTATGTTTGACTGTCAATTATTCAGTGAAATATAAAAGTTTGTGAGGTTAATAGACGAGTTTGACAAGCGACCCGTCGACATTACGCGATATTGAACTGTAATGCAAGATGGCTGCTAACACTACGTTCGTCGATCGTGAACTATTCAAAATTATTAGAATTACTACAAAAAATACAATTTCTCATGGCCAACTTGTCGAAAACCGTTTAATGTTAAAGGATGGAGGAAAAGGGTGAACTTTTAACATGTCTCGGAGAAAAAATAAACACTGGCAAAGCCACGATAGATCGACTGAAACTTGTAGGAAAGATTGATGGAATTGAAAAACTTATACGAAAGATTCAACAAGAAATTAGATTCTTAGAAAAGGTATGTTTTTTTCAAGATTACAAAACTACAGATATCATATACCTACATTTCTTTCACGATATTAAGCATATATTATAACTTATATAAATTATGAAACATTTCACTCTATTTCCTTCTATTAATTTTATGTTTACGTACAAAAAATTGTCGAATTGTCACATATTTTTCAATTAAAAGGATCAGAATTATAACTATATGCTATTCTCATAAAGGTACAATCCACAGGACATGTAAAGAAGGAACATTTACAAAGCACAAATCTGATTCATTTGAATGCAATTGTAGCACGATTCTTTTGTGCCAATGAACCCATCAATGTTATGAAACCTTTTAAATATCAAAAATCACGTTTAGAAGTAGATATTGTATGTAATGGAGGTGCATCATGGATAAAAGTTATTGCTAGAAATGCTAGAGCTCTTACAATGATTTCAATGGGTAATGGAGAATATGGGCAAAAATCTGTGCTTGATCAAGCAACGAGTTACTTACAATGTGCAAAATGCTATCCACATTTGTATAGGCCACCTGACATTATATTCCATTTTGCTTATGGTATAGAAATTCCATTAGCTACACGTTTGGAACACATGGGAATAATTGTTGAAGGAGATAAAATGCAATGCGAAGATGTAAAAAATATAGATATATATGGTATATATTTTTTTTAATATGATAAATGTATGAATATGTATGATATATATATATATAAATTAACAAATCATATTTACGGTTATATCTATTCTTCTGGAGGTAGATAGCGAGGACAAAATTTCTACATGGCTATATTCGTTAGAATCCACTGAGGAATCTTTGGATGATTATAAAAAAGACATAAATTCAGATTTAAATAGTCTAAACACATGTTCTCTTAAAACTGAAATAAAGATTCTTAACTTGGATGTATCAACTTTATTAGCATATGTGACAAATATGACCAATGGATATGATCATTTTATTTATCGGGAACCGTTACTTACTCAACAAGCAGAAATGGAGAGAAAATATCCAGTTAAACCAATTTTAGAGAATTTGTTCAAAGGCAAAGAATTAATTGTTTGTCAAACTGCTTATGAAAATTTTATGAATATTATAGATGTCATTGGTGGACCTAAAGAGACTCTTAGAGCAAAAGAATTATTAAATAAAGTTCAGATTGTTAATGACATATCAACAGGCAGAATAATGGAGAAGTTAAATTTAGGTGGTAAAATTAAAGACAGATCTAGATTAGTTTTTGCAACAGGAGAATATATGAAAAGCATTACAGTATCTGCAAATGAGGGATTTGTTAGAGCAGCACGTATGCAGGTATAAGTATTTGTACTATAAAAAATATGACAAATTTAAATAATTCTAGTAATAAATTCTTTCAGGGTATTGAATGTACAGTCTTTTTGCATGAACCTAGATCTCTTTCAGAGATTAAAGAAGGTTATGCGACAAAAATAGGTCCATCTTGACACCAGTTAAATGCATTTTAAATTATTGCAAAAGAATATTCATACTGCATAAGAAATATTTCTATTGTTTACTAATTAATATTATTAACAGATGAAGCTTGATATTTAACGCGCATTTCCAAACTTTCTTCAAATTCTGTAACAATAAATTAAATAAAAGAGTTTAGAATTGTGATAGAAATATTTTCAATGTAAAAAAAATATCAACAAAGTACCATTAATAAAATTCGTTAAATGTGGATTTCTTTCTTTTGCTAACAGAATATATTCTTTGTATTTCGTTTCATCTCCTAGTTGTTTATAACACTTAGCGCTATTTAATAGGGCTTTCAAGTTCGTGTTATTAACTTTTAATGCCCATTCGCAATCGCTTAAGGCTTTCTCGAATAATCCAAGCTGAATATATGACAAAGCCCTGTTATTCCATAATACGGTTGAATCTTTTCGCTGTTCTAGCGCTTTAGTATAATATGTTACCGCTTTCTCGTAATTTCCTTCCTTAAATGCCCCATTACCAATTGTTTTCAGTGTTTCCGCTCGTTCATTTCTAATCTTTCTATTTTCCGCCCTTTCTTTTGCATCTTTTTCTACGCTTTTCATAAACGCTTCTAAATGTAAATAAAACTTTAATTAGTATGGGAATGCAAGAGACAAAAATTATTACTTGATACCTTTGGACATTTCTTCATTAGTAGAGTTTTCGTTAGTCGAACATTTATTAATCACTGTACGATTCATTTTTATTGTTAATTCAGTATCATCGCTAATATTACTTTCCGATCGTCCATCCAAAATTTTATCTGCCAATATTTGTCCATGTTCTTGTTCTTCAGGATTGGAAGATGCCAATTTTTTCACAATTTTTTCTTAAAAAATTAGAATGAATCGAAAATTATGTCTATAATTAAAATAAGAAATAATACTTACCAACTTCGGTAACGCGATGCATAAAGTTCTGAAATTCTTCCTCAGTTACATGTTTATCAACTGATAAATTATCCATAATTTGTTGCCCTTCTATTATTTTGTGTTTTAATATATCATCATCTTCTATTTTATTCATTTTATATTATAAATATTCTTTTTTATACAGGATTGATCTAACTATATTTGAGACTAACTGTGAAAGGTTTCCATAGAAACATATAACATGGTAACATAAATATGTATGTCAAATGGGTTAAGTGATTAAATAAGCATGAAACATTTATTTTGAATTGGTTTATTATAAAATGAACAAGATCATGTAAGAAAGTAACAAGTATGATAGTGAATTATGGTTAATTTATATATATTGAAATTTTGCAGCTTTTTTGGTTAAAAAAGATTTATAATCACAAAAAGTTTTATTCAGTCTAAGTGTTATATTCAAAGCAATATATATCAATAATTTCAATTTTAAAACACAGTGTTTTATGTATTAACCATTAGATCCTTTTCTTGGAGGATATTCCGAAAGTGTTCCTGCATTATAATATGTTTGTTCAACATTTGTGACAGGAAAAATTTGAGAAGAACCCATAATAGTATCTGAACTTTCATTTTCTATCTCTTCAACTTCAAGAGGATCCATATCTGCATCTTCTTCCATTTCAAATATGTCCACTTCGTCTTTTATGTAAACTGCACACTTCATGGATTCATTGCTTTCCGAATTAGTCCTTTGTTTTCTTCTGTCTAAAGGTTCATTCCTCTGAAACTCTTGATTAGCTGTAGATGGCTTTCCAGCTGTAATTTCAACTTCATCCATAATACATAATTTTTTCAAAGGTAAAGATTTATCCTTTGATATAGCAGATAAAACACGAGGCCAACTAATAACAGATTCAGAGGATTCTTTTCTTTTTTGAGGTGGTGGATTGGAAATTCCTCTACTAGTACTTGGCATATCATTAATGTCTACAATACTGATTCCAGATTTTCCTGTGTCTAAACATTGACTTAATAAATTAATATTAGCCTCTTCATTTTTCTTAGTGACCTCTAGTGGAACTTTGTTTCCACTTTTATGAAGGTGAGTAGATGAAGTAAATTTTGTTTGATTGTTAGTTTTAGTTTGTGATCTAATATTAGAATCATGCTCAGGTACTGTTTTGGTAGGTAGACTCTTTGTTTCTTCGATTTTTAAACGAGATACCGTAGTTGTTTTCCTGGACGTATCATGAGATGCGTTATTTGATTCTCCTACCAAAACGGAAGTTTTAATATGTCGTAATCCAGTGACTTCCAAAATTTCGGCCAACTTTAACAACCTTCTAACCTCACTTTGAACCACTTGTATTTCACCGCAATACATAAAATTGACGATAGTCTTGAGATCGTCTGCTTCAATATCGTGAAGAATAATCATAGGATGAGGATGATCGTTGGCAACTAATAAACGACGAAAAAATGAGCTCGAATTAGCTAATACCATTTTATGACATTTTATAATCGTCCCATCTTTGCATACTAAAGAAAGATCTACAAACTGTTGCTTCTCATAACATGTATCGAGAGAAACCGCCAAATGCGATGGAAAACTGTGCCACTTTAAACTTAACACTGTTTCTTCCTTCATTTTGAATATTGTAATTGATAGCTTTCAATTCTATCTACGACTAACAGTATACGACTTTCGTTTATAACAACACACTCGCCATGACACGTGCCGCTGTCATCGCAACTGTTTTAAACGGCTGTGCATTCCAATAGAGAAAATATCTTTCAACGTGTAAAAAATAAATTCGAGATAACATAGCATCAAATTATGCGATTGATTAAAAACACATTTCACATGATATATTTAAAAATATTCCATGAATATTATATTTTTTGGGTTAAGTAAAGATTCTACTTTTTAAAAATAATCTGTAGAAATCGATTTTTCTAGTTAGATGTCCGAATTATCTACATTCTAGAAGATACGAAATAGATTTTTACTTGATCTAAAAATATCTATTTGTCACAAATTCAGAATAATATCAAAAAGATTTTTAAGATTACAATTGATCGTCATTTTTATTTATTTGCAATATCATTTTTAAATTAAGAAATTTAATCAAATTAAAAATTATAAAAAAAAAAGAAACATATTGAACACGATGTTATTTTTCATTACGTTTAATCCATTTTACAGTTTTTTTCATTTTTAAATTGATTAAAAATGCATTTAAATAATTTTTGCATGGAATTGAATTTTGAATGTCGCGCCAAATAGCGATGCGCGCATTCTATGACGCCATCTTGTGCTCGATATGTCTCGATACGTCTTTTGCGATTCTCGATGTCAATTGAGTTCGATAATTGCAAATGGTCGTTTAATAACAGATGATTGAACGCATTCTGCGGCGCGGTCTAGCATTTATCTGTCAAAACTGGTGACGGCCGGCCGATCGGCGATGAGCCGGCATACGCGTGCCTGTTGATTGTTTCGTGCTAAAGTTTTAGGTTATCTACGTGAATATTTTAATAAAATACGTGTGTGTATATTTGTGCGTTTAACATTACGTTTTCCGAGTGGCACAAACGCGTCGATCGTAAATATTCTTTAAATAATTGCGTTCATTATTATGTGACGGTAAATTGGGAACGAAGTACACGTAGAGAGAAAGACAAAGAGAGAGCGACAACACGAGAAGGAAAAAACAAAGGAAAATGCAAAACATTCGAGTCTATGTATTCTGTTATCTCATCGTGGCAATACTTTTTCTAGCGCCATTCAATTACGCTTCAGGTAAGCATGGATTCTGAGAAATAATTTGCAGTTTGTTTAATAGAATAAATCAAGTGTCTCTGTACCGAGCGAAGCCAAAATTAGTTGGTTTAATCGAACCATTGGGGTCACCCCTGTAAGGCCACAATAGTCTTCTTCCGCTTTTTCTCCATCACTCTCTCTACCCCTCTCTCGTTCTTTCTCTCTCTGTCTCTCTCTTCATTTCTTTCTGATTCTTTTGATCCAACTATTCGCGCGTTTCTTTCTCTCTTGATGCTTGTGGTCAAGAAATTAAGCTCCCTTAATTATGTATTTTTACTTCGATAATACTTTGTTTGTCTCTTGATTTATTTGTTCATACTTCATGTTCCAAACCACAATTACTGTATATTCTGTCTCAATGGAAGATAAATGCTTAATGTTTCACGTAGGAAACGTTCGTTATCGCACAATCAATTTGATTCGATTATTCGGTAATTGATACATAACACGATTTTGTAATAATATTTGATACGTTTAGTTATTATTTCTAGTTATCCCAAGAAATTTTCATAAATATACAAATGAATTAATGTTTAACGAAAGTTATCTTTTTGAATCGCGATGAATATATTTAACATTTTTGCACGATTCCCTGGCGAAAACGCTCATCAGTATTTGGTCATAACGAAGAAGATGAGTCAATGTGATAATAAAGTCCATGCGTAGCGTTTAACGCTATTTAACACCAGTACGAGTATTGGTAGCTTTACTAAACCAGTACTAGAGTAGTACCAGTATTTATATCAGTATCAGTATCGCCTGTTTTCATTCTTCATTAACGAATGGTGCACGATAAATAAAACGTATCACGAATACATTCGATTCAAAATATCACTTTATTATATTTAGCAATCCATTTTGTAGGAAATAATTAACGTGCAGTTAACGTATTAACACGTTATAACTTATATACTTTATAACCGTAACTAACTTTGTAAATGAATAATGTTGCGCGATAATTCCGTTAGTCATTTTATACTGCTCTTCTGCAATGTAATTTATTTTATGAAAGATACAATTATCCATAGCTACGTTGAATTCTTTCTTTATATCGCACTTTTATATATGACATGCGTAAAATACACAGTTTCGTAGCCAGTCTATGTACAAGTCAAGGACTCTAGCACATACATAAATGATTGAGTAATATTTTTCGGTTGTCTCATTCTTGATTTTTATCTTTTGAATAGAAATACGAATGACGTAGAATTGGAATAAAAGGTCTCATTGTTCGATTGACCTATGAATTCTGTATTGTTATCATGGAAAAGTTCATTGACACGTATTAATGGGAATAAATTAATTACGGAAAGTTGAATGTGATATTTCGAATCAAGTTGCAAATGTTTCTAATCTCTTGAATATTCATTTATTTGAAATCGTTCCGGTATTATTATTTGTTATATTGTTATTATTATTATTATTATTTTGGCATTGCAGTTTATCGAATTTATTACAATACTACGATTTAAATCAAACGAAAGTTTGTTAATTTGCTTTATTTAACATCGGTACAGTTAACCTTTATATTTTAACTGATAAAATTCGTCTCAATTAAGTGATTCAGCCAATTTCAACTCGTACAGTGTCGATAGAGTCGCAATGATACATCACTCTTCAACCGCTCCCTGTTTCTTTTGTTCAAAGAAAATTAAAAAAATAATCCCGAGTTTGTAATTGCGACAGATATGGAATATAATAATAACGAACGATAACAATAAATTTTCAGTTGATAATGATATATCATTAAAATGATAAGATTTACATTTTTGTTGATACAACATTATATTCGTTGATCGAATTAAAATTGATAAAGTTATGAATGACGTGATTTATTTTATTTTTTTTTTTTTTTTAACGTTAGAATGTTCATGAAATGTTTATCGCAATGCATTAAAGACTTTATTATCTTCACTGTTATTCGCCTTATGTCGTGAATCGTATATTAACCTTTGTATAAGGTGAATTAACTCGGAAAGCTTTTTGTATTCACTGCTTTCAATTCGTCCAATCTTTGTAACGCGATACATTGAATCTCGCTTCGTACGTAATATAACGTTAATTGTTGATCTCGACGTAACGTCCCGATTCTGATTAATTTAATTTGTGTTGTGTGTGTGTTCAGATTTTTCTGCAGGAAATGTCACAAATCAAACCAAACAATGCGATACCCAAAAGATGGAGAATCAATGCGATGAAAATGAGAGATGCTTTCAAAATTCGAAGGGGGAAAAAGCGTATTGCAAATGCAAGATAGGTTACGACCTGGAGAAAGGCCGGTGCGTCCAGGTTACAATTACCACGGTTGCCAGTGTAACTGATCAACCAAACGTCATGGCCAATTCAGGAGGTATATATGTATATATGTATATATATATATATACATGCAATATATAATTACAAATATATCGCCATCGTTCAATATTACCATCGTTATTATATAAATCATGGCAAATTAATATTCGTATTTATATTAGAGATTAAAAGCAATTTTATAACAAAGAATTAAATTTTGAAAAGGAAGAAATTTTCCACGACATACGTAATATTATTTGTCGTAACTGTTTTACTTAGTTCAGTTCTTTGACTCATAATATTAGTTTATCGCACGATAAACTATTAATAACGATAACGATATCATTATTGTATCGTATTATATTTTATCTATCGTGAAAAAGATTGGTTACGTAAGACGATGTGCTAAAATTGCTGAGAAAATTCTGTTTGAATTTTGTTTAGGTAGTTCTGTAGCCGCTGGCTTGTTAATACCAACTTTTCTCGTAGTAACGAGCGTATTACTGTATTTTGTCGCGAGGCGATACAAATGGTTACAACGAGTTCGACAGCTTCGTCCAAACCATTACGGTAATGTCCTAGTCACGAGAGACGACGATGACGATGACGATCCACCTATAGCGTAAGCAGACGTCTAATAATAATAATAATAATAATAATGGAATAATTAATATGTGTGCCGTGTACAAAGTGCGAAAGTTTTTAACAGAAACATGAACTTTGACGCAGAAACGCTCAGTTACACAATTCATAATTTTAAAGCGACAAGCTTTGAGTTACGCGTAAACGGATCGCCTTACCGAATAACCGCGAGAGAGAGAGAGAGAGAGAGGAGGAGGAGGGAGAGAGAGAGAGAAGAAAGAAAAGAAGTACGTA